ACTCATTTAGAGAAGCTCTCGTTCCACAGTTCCTAGCAGTTCTCTACTGCTAGGATGTTTTTTCTGGTGGTTTCTGGACACTAAGCAAGCCCTTTGTTATAGCCTACACCTTTGAATCACTGGGGAGATGACAATTTTAAATATCGCTTTAGAGAAAACCAGATCTTCAGTTTTCAATTCCCTTTCCAAAACTATACACAGTTAATGACAGTATGTGGTTCCTGCTGCTGGTTTCTTCCTCACTTCCTATAAACATACTCTGGCTTTCTGAACCTGATGTGAAGACAGAGGGTGTCCTTGCTCCAAATTAAATAAGAACATGAAGTAACAGCGAGATAGTTCACAGCGGGTAAATTGTGCTGTTGGTATAATAAACATGATTCTTCCCACTGCATCTTCTATTTTCTAGCTATATAAATTATTTCTTTGCAAGACTGAATATTTAGAAGAGCAGTGAAGTTACTAAAGACTTTGACTCATATCACGCAAAACTGAATTAATGAAACCAAAGATTCATATTTTATTTGTTTCTACTAATACTTGTTTTTAATATATTAAAATGAAGGAAAAAACCCAAGTGGAAAATCCTCAAAGCTGTAAATAAATTCTCTCTTTGATAAGTTTATTTCTGTATTGTATTTCCTTTTATGTTACCAAAATAGTGTTTGATTTTCTGTAAGAAGGAAACATTCCCTGGCTCGAAATCCCCAAAGGATGCTTTCAAGTTCAATTCCTGCATGAACTGATGTTATTTTGTGTTAATGTATTCTGAATAAATAATGCCGTTACCTCTCTTAGCCTGGATTCTTAAGGAGCGGAGGCATATGAGATCATGCATCTATTCCCTTTTCTCCCATAACGTTTGAAACAAGTGTCTACTCGAGTTTGAAAGCATGATTGAGATTTTAAGGATACCTGGGTAAAAGTGTTGTAAATAGCCAGGCAGAGAGGTGGATTAGTGTCCAGCTGAAGGAGAGGGTCACATCCTTATTACTCTCCAGAAAAGCCCTATAGGAGACATACATCCAGCCCTTTGTAGGCTGTGATCCTGTATTTCCCTACCATGTGATTACAATCTGTAGTAAGCCAGGCTTTCTCTGGAGATGCCAACTGCTGTTCAACACAAAGAGGGAAGTGTGCTCATGGGAAGTGTGGAGTAGTGCAATGGTGCCGGTCTTCTACTTAGTCCTGATGTTTTTGAGAAGGAGTTTTCTGGTACTGAGAATGGAGAGGTGCGTGACCTGTGCTTCTGTGGGTGCGAGGGGTTCTGGACAGGGCTGCTGTAAGGGAAGGCTCTGCAGTCACAGGTGTCCACGGTCAAAGAGCACATCCCCTTGTACAATTGCGCTTTAACTTCTTATGCAAGACTAAATCATCTTGATAAAATGTACTTTTGAAGAGCGAAGTAATTTTGTAAACTGGTGACTTGACTCCAGAGATCTTACCGACAGACTAGCTGTACCTAAAGAACTCTAAAATCTCTTTTGTATCTTTGTCATTGTGTGAAAAAACACTGTATGTTGAGTTGACATTCTACAGCGTTTTTAGGAGATTAAGGTATACTTTTAAGGGCCTTTTTAATCATTCAGTTTTCAGAGGCATGTTTCTAACAGTAAGTCTGAATGTGCTTTTTCTACAGGAACCAGTCTAATGTCCGAAGGATGCACACAGCAGTGAAGCTAAATGAAGTTATTGTAAATAGATCTCATGATGCCAGACTTGTGCTCCTCAACATGCCTGGTCCTCCAAAGAATACTGATGGGGATGAAAACTGTATCCTTTCAGGCAAGACCTGGGCCACACAGAAGGTCTTTCTGTAATCTATGCTCTTGAATTCATTTTGCCACCAGTACTGTCGAGCTGTGATATGTGATAAAGTGTCCACTGAGTGGAGGGTACTGTCTTGTGGCTTGTAGGGTAGTAATTGCTTAAAGTTGCTTAAAGTAAAAGTTGCCACTGGTTGCTATGGAAGCCTTGTTTGAAGGTTTGAATTTAGTCTTATCTAAATTCTTACTTGATTTTATTTGTTAGTTTAATTTAATTCTCAACAGTGGATGTAGCAGATATTTAAGAAGGCATTCACAGCAGCCAGTGCTCTGGGCAGAGCAGCGTCTGAACTTGAGTCAAAAGGAAGTCCTGAAAGAGAAGGGAATATCTCAGGCACACGTCAGAGTTTGGGGCTTAGGTCCAAGTACAAGGCTCTGGTAAGATAAAAATTCAAAGTCACAGTACTTTGGTTTTTAGAGGAATACTTACATGATTCCCTTAAGCAAGATCAGAGCTGAGGGTTGTGAGCTGGAGAGAGATCGTTGGTGCCACAGTTTGCTGCTGTCCACAGCTGCTCTTCAGCCTTGATTTGTACCATTAATTTAGTGTGTGCCAAAAAAAAAGATGTCACAAATGACATACCAAATGGTTGTTTTCCCCTAAATCTAGATAGTACTAGTAGCTGTAATAGCTTGTTTCACCAGAAAGGATAAAAACATTCCTCTTAGAATAAAGGGGTTTGAACCACATCTCAGGAGAGATTTTAAACTCAAGGTAATGGGTAATGCATATTTCTCTACCCCTCCCTAGAGAGGCTGAGCCACTGTGACTGAAAACTGCTCAGTATTCATGGGAGGGAGTGTGACTGTCACCTGGTGCCACCAGCATCTCTGACAGGCTCAGCTTTAAGCTGTGGTGGATTTGTTTTGGAGCTGCATGCAACTGTCTCTGTCTGACATGGGGGCAGCCTCTGGTCTCACCGCACATAAGCATTGCCATGTAAACCCAATACAGAGGCTAATCACTGTATTTTGGTTTTGATATTTCTTTTGTCCTTGACTTACTGAAACAGACATGGAGTTTCTAGAAGTCTTGACTGAGGGTCTGGAGAGGGTATTACTTGTTAGAGGTGGCGGCCGAGAAGTCATCACCATTTACTCCTGATTTAGAAGCTTCTAACACTGGTCTACATTTACCTTCTTGGTGACATTCCAGTTTTAAATGGAGAAGAAAAAAGGTTTTTGCCTAACTTTATCCTCATCCAGTCCTACTCATTGTCTTTCCATTTGCAACATACATATCTTTTGGGATTGCAGTATTTGTTACACCATCCAATTAGCAACATAAATTAATTGTGAAGCTGCCACATTATTCAGTTTCTGCTTTGGGACTCCAGCATTTGTGCAAGTAGTTTTAACACTAAACCTAATTTTAGTCAGCACTGCTATGTGCAGTATTTTTAGTAACTGTATCTAAAGGTAGGACATAAAAGCCAGTTATTGTAAAAAGATTTAAAAAGCTTTTTCTATTAGGATTGGGGAATAGAAGTACATTATATAACAGCTACTTTCTGCTGAAGTTCAGCTATAAAGCATTTTCTAAGAGCACACTAAACTGTAAGAGAGGACTGAAAAGCTTTCTTTTTCTGGATTTATTTCCAGAATTAAACTCTCAGTATTGGATAAGAATTTATACTTTTAATACACTTATTGATAGAGATTTAAATAAATTATGTTGATATAGTTGAAATTATGTATGTAGCTTACTATAGGTTGTGTTGCTTCTGAGACTTCAGGTTCTGTGAGGCCAGATCCCTATTTATTTTTGTATTTATTTGTCAGAAATATTGGATATGCAGATGCAGACTGTTTAGAAGAACAGAGATCTCACAATAAATTCTGAATCATCAGTGGATTGCAGGACCAGTCCTGGGCAGTTCTTTCATGCTTTAAATTTCTTGCAGACCATCCATCAAAGTACATTGAGCATGTTAGAGTCCTGTGTGTAGAGACAGGTGCTATGCTGCACGCACAGCGATGGGATGGCACTTGCACAAGTACAGGGGACCTGCTGCTTCAGTTTGTGCTTTATGCCCTTAGAGGGAGAAGAAGAAGACCTGTATTAACCAATAAGTCTCTCGAGATTTTATTAAGCCCATTAAGTTGTACTTTATGTACAGAACATTCATATTTTTTCAATAAAATGTTGCATACACTTTGAACCTATTTTCTGGTCTGTGTGCAATGGTGAATTACATAGGAATAGCCTCTCTGTCGTGCCATGGTCCTATGTCGGCACCTCTGGTTCCAGGGTGAGAGGGGGAAGGTGGGCGGGATACGCTGGTGCTCGCCTAAATGGCACAAGTCCTGCACAGTGGAGGTGCCAGCTCAGACTGCAAAGCAGCTGGGTGGCCTGAGGAAAGACTCCAGAGTCCACAAATAACAGCCAGGTCGAACTCTGCACCTGTAGACTATTAAACACACACAAGCTTGTACCCCCTCAAGATTTCTGGCAAAAAAATAAAATATAAAACAAAATAAAATGAAAAAAAATAAAAAAAGAAGAAAATCAAACCCAAGAAAACTAAAATAAAGAAATGAAATTAAAATTGAAATAAAAGAGAAAAAAACCCTTTTTGGTGCCCCCGTTTACTCCCTCCCCATGTCCCAAACCCTTAAAATGGGAGGGGAGGACTCCAAAAACTGGGTGGGAGACTCCAAAAATTGGAGCAGGGGAGCTCCGCGGACGACGGGGGCCGGAGGCACCGAGAGGGCAAGGAATAACAGCAAAATAAAAGAAATAAATAGATCCCGGCAGCCCTGGCGCCGCCTCGGTGCATCCCAGAAGCTTTTGTGCTGCCCGGTATATCCCAGAAGGGTTTGCGTGGAAATAAAATAAAAAAGAAATAAAAAGTGTAAAAAACAAGGAAGAAAAATAAGATAAAATAAAATGTCAAATAGAAGTTTTTACTGGTGGCGGGACTCGAGGCCGCGGCTCCAGAGAAATCGGCGTTGCCCCCGCGGCGCCTCGGCCCCTCGGTGAGTGGGGGGCGCGCGGCTGCAGTGCCGCTCCCAGCCGGGTCCGCATCCCAGTCCTTCCTCAGTGTACCAAAAGAGCGGCTGTTTCCCGGTTCAAACCTCGGCATAGCCACCGAACGGGGCGCGGGTCCGTGGAAGCACTTCCCTGATTCTCGTTACTGCCTCACTCCACATCCCTCGTCGCGAAGCGCTCTGGGAACCCCGGGAGCTCAGCCCAACACCGCGGGAGGGTCCGGCATCCCCGGGGCTCCCTCCAGGCCCCCCCGCGCCTCGTTCCGGTACCGCCAGGACCGCCCTTGTCCCGCAGCTCCCGCAGGCAGGACGCAACCACGCCGCGCTGCCCCAGCCCCCGCCGCGCCGCTCCAGCCCGCACCGCTCCAGCCCGCGCCGCCGCCCCACACAGCGCTTCAGCCGCGCAGCCATCCCCTGGCGGAGGGCGAGGCTTCTCCAGGCAGGGAGGCGCGTCTGCCATGAAGGGTAGGAGCACAGCCCGTGTGTCCCGGGCCCGGAGGGGGGTTCTGAGGGACTCCGGAGGGCTCCGGACACACCCCCTGGGCACTGTGGGGGACCTTTTGCACCGGGGATTCCTGCCCTCTGCGAGCGGGGGAGCTGTGCAGGGAGAGGACTTCATCCGTGTTAATTTTGGGAGTTAGACCTGCTGTTTCGTTGCTGGGCTCCCTTTCCCCCAGGAAAGAAAGGCTCTAGCCTTTGTGAGTCAGGTGCAGTTTCAGCGCAGGGCTCCGGCAAGCTAACAAAACCCTTTCCACGCATATAGAAAGTTTTCCCACCTGCACCTGACACCCAAAAGCCATAGGCTTTCTTTCTGGAGGGAATGGCTCTCATTTTCTTACAAATTACAATCCCAAATGCAAATTCGAACACTAAATCCAATACCAACTATAATACCTGTTCTCGTTAAGAATCCTTTTCTCTGTCAGGCTCTTTACCCATCCTGATTTTAAGTCAGAGATGCAAAACGGGTGCTGCTGCTCCCAGAGCCTTTATACCTTCTGGGATTGGGCTCCTCCCTTTCCCCGGGGCCTCACCCCAGCCTTTGCTCGAGGAGGTCATTCAGCAGCAGGGCTTTAATGGGATAAGAGCTCTCTCTTTCTTTCATTGAATGGGACTTCTCAAGCTGTTCCTGCTTTATTGAAGCATCAGCTTTGGCATCCAACGAAGCAGAGCTGTATATGGCAATGAAGAGGATTACACTCAAATGCAGGGGTTTTAAATTTAATAATTTTGTGTCCTGTGTTGGTAAGGTGCTTTTGTAATTTGTTATCTTTTTTTCTTTTCCTTAGGAGCCTTGCATCTTTTGGGATCTCCTGATCATCTCAACTGCAGCTTGGCATTTTTTCACATGTGTTATCTGGTCCCAAGGTGAAGCTGCTCTGTGTTGAAGATGACTACAGACACCCAGGTTTGCAAGTAGTCAGTGGGGGGTTACAGCCCAGAGATGGAGCGAGGGCTTGGGTGCCAGCTTAGGAATTGCCAGGGGTGTTTTGAAGGTAGTATGGGTGGAAAGCAGTGTCTGGGAAAAGCCCCCTAAATGCCTGTGAAGGCATCCACTGACTTTTCAGATGTGCCACTTAAGTTTTCCTCTCATTTACCCAGATATTCCGTGTGATTACAGCTGCAGTCTTTGGCTGCAGGCAGTGACCCTGGGTGGTTTGCTAAAAGAGAAGGGAGACTCTTTCAGCTCTCCCTATCTATCTGGGTGACTTTGGTTAGGGTTTCTTTACCATGTCAGAAGGACAGGGTGTAAAGCAGAGTTGAACAGAACAGAGGCCAGAGGAGCAGAGCAAGAAGGTGGGTGGTCACCTGACATCAGCACAAAGATGTGGCTTTTGGCTCCATGTTTACTGGATGTGTTAAGGATTTTATTGTTTTGGTTTGTTTTTTCTTTGTTTTCAGATGCAGAGCGCTGGTCCCAGGAGGCTCTAGGCACCGGAGGGGAGGTGATCCGAGTGAGTACCGGTGAGCAAGGCGAGCATTGACTCCAGGACAGAACTAGATGGTCTTTTACAGGTGTTGTGGTGAATCTGTGCACATGCTTTGTTTCTTGTGTTCTCCAGGGGGTTCTGCCACCTTCTAACAGACAGTCCAATGCTTCAGGGCCCCTGCTGGTAATAGGTCACTGTGGAGGAGAGGTAGGTAGGAGCTCCCACAGGAAAGCCATCCTTTCAGGCAGTATCTCAGTATATACATTTGCCTTTGGCTTTTTTACTTTGCAGAGAATGTGTGCAGCCTCAGAGGGCTGGAGCCACCTGCCAATTACGTTTGATGGTCTTCATCTGTCCTTGTCAGTAGTCTCCTAGTACTACGAGGCTCATCAATTAAGGCTTGACCTTTTCTGGTTGCAGGTGCCATCCAGCCTGCCTTTGGCAAAGGAGGAGCATTAAGGTTGAGGTAGGGAGGTAGTGAGGAGGTGCTGGAGTCTCCCTTACTTTCAGAAACACCACGTAACTTTTTTTCTCACTCACCCAGGTACGGCACACAGTGACGGCAGCAGCCTCTGACTTGGGTCAGAGCCAGTGGCCCGAGAACTTCTCAGCTTAGGGGACGGTGAGTAGCCAATTGCGGGGTTATCGCCTATGTGCTGCCAAACTCTTGTGTCAGAATCGGTCAGATCTCAGCCAGCACCCAGTCGGGGCAGTCTAAGTCCCCGTAGAAGCAGAACTGCTGCGTGGGGAGAGGCGGTCAGAGGCGGTCACTGCCGCTCTGCGTCCTCCCCGCTCCCCGCCGCCGACTCCCGGCCCACCACGTCGCCGCTGCTCCCCGGTCCCCCATGCCGCACAGTCCGCCTTCGCGATCCGGAACCGCCCCGTGTGCCGGTGGGGGGCTCCCCGAGGGGCTCTGCAGGGGCCTTGGGGCCGGGACCCCGGGGGTGCAGCCCTACCAAGGGGCGGGGCAGGGGACGGGGTCCCGGGAGCGGGACCCGGGATGGCTACGGACCCGCGGGAAGGGCCCCTCCGACACGGCCCTCGTCCCTCCTCCCGACCACCCGAGCACCTCCCGCCACCCCGCGGGCTCCAAGCCCCGCCAATCCGGGCCCGAGGCAGCGTCTGGCCCGCCAATCCCGGCCCGCCTTTCTCGGCGCCGTCCAATCACAGCCCACCTTTTCAATCCGGCAGCGGTCCCGCAAGCTCTGCCCGCTCAGCCGCGGCGCGGCCCCTCCGCGCGGCACCGTCCCCCCGTTCCCCTCAGGCGCTGCTGGGACCACGGAAGGGCGGTGGGAGCTCCGCGGTCACGCCCCGTCCGGGAGCTCTCCCAGGAGAAGGAGAGGGAGGCGGGGAGCGGGCGGGAGGGGCTCCGGGAGCGGGGCCTGCGGGACCAGCGGGGTTCTCGGGAACGGGCGGGCGGGGATTGGCTGGGCTGGCACGGGGGGGCGGGGCTGTGCGGGCCGCGGGCTATAAATAGCGGGCGGGGGGAGCGGGGGGGGGGGGGGGGGGGCGGGGGGAGCGGGGGGGGCAGTTCGGCGGCGGAGGTGGAAGCGGCGCTGTATCAGCGGTGAGCTGGGGCGGGACTCCCGCGGCTGCCGCTCCCGACGTGCAGGTCCGATCCCTGTCAACGGGGCCGCGGTCGAGCAAGCTCTGCCCGCTCAGCCGCGGCGCGGAGCCGCCCCCCTCTCCACCTCGTCCCCCGCGTTCCCCTCAGGCGCCGGTCTCGGCGCCTTTGCTTCGGGATCCGGCGGAGCCGCGCCTGCGCTGCCGCGGTGTCCGCAGGCGCTGTTGAGAGGGCGGGTGGGAGGTCCGCGGTCCCGTCCCGTCCCGGAGTTCTCCCGGGAGAAGGGGAGGGAGGCGGGGAGCGGGCGGGAGCGGAGCAGCCCCTGGGAGCGGGGCGTGAGGGGACAGCGGGGTTCTTGGGGACGGGCGGGGCGGGAACGGGCAGGCGGGGACGCTGCCGGACGCTGGGATTGGCTGGGCTGGCACGAGGGGGGCGGGGCTGTGCGGGCCGCGGGCTATAAACGGCGTGGGCGGGGGGCCCTGGGGGCAGTTCGGCGGCGGGGCTGGGGGCGGCGCTGGAGCGGCGGGAGCTGGTCCTGGATCGGCGCGGCCGCTGGGCCGAGGAGCGGCGGTGAGCCAGGGTGGGACCCTCGCGGCTGCCGCTCCAGGGAGCGGTGAGGAGCCATGGGGCAGCACCCCCTCGGCTGCCGATCCAGGGGGAGCCGGGGTCGGTCCCCCACAGCTGCCGAGGCAGGGCGTTGGGCAGGCGGTGTCCCCGGCAGCTGTGCCGGCCAGCTTTGGTCAGTGCTCAGTGGGGGAGCAGCCTATGCTCAGGGGTGCTCCCCCGAACCAGAAGGATGAGGATGCAGCCTCTCAGTGGGGTTGGTATTGAAAGTATTGTTACAAAGAAAAGTAATAAAAGATGTTTCATTCTATTATAATTTTATTTTGCTTTTATTTTCATCTTTGACTACTTGATTGTTTATTCTATTGTTTTGTTGCTGTTCCCGTTGGGATGGGTGGGAAAGCTCCTAGAGATATTTAAGTGAACGACAAAGACTGATTTGTGACCTTGTCAACAGCCCGGGGCTGCAGAGATACCCAGGAGCAGATTTAGGCAGAGGCAGCAGAAAGCTGAGAACCTGGAGCTCAGGCAGCAGAGCTGTTGGAGACATAAAGACGGTAGGACTGTAGGCAGAACAAGAGTGGGGCTGGATTAGGGAGCATGGACCTGGCATAAGTACTGCAGGGATGGAGCTGGGATAAAAATAGTCAGGCCTGGCCTGGAATGTGGGCTTGAGAGCTGGGGTGGAAAACTCAGACCTTTAACAAAAGAAAGATGCTAGGACTGGAACGTGCAGCAGCTTTACCAGGAGCTGCCAGCAGAGCTGACAGAGAAATAAAGGTTGTGGGTGTGGGTATGGGATAGGGAGATTGGTGCTCGGAAAGGGACTGTGTAGCAGCGATAGGGACTGTGGCACCGCAGCAGAAATCACTGTAGGATTGAGACAGGGACTGGCACCGTCACTCAGACATCTGTGTCTGTGAAATAGGGATTGATGGGCGGGAACGTGGACGGGGGGAAGAGCTGAAATCAGTCTAGGGCAGGGTTGTGGACTTTGGAGTTGGGATCAGGTTTGTGGGGCTGGAGGAGCACCTGGGGGTCTGGGGGTGTGAGGTTGGAGCTGGAAAGTCGCAGAGCTGGAGCCAAGCTGAAGATCCTGCAGTGAGAACCTGGAGCAGCTTCCCGTGGCGTCACTGGCAAGATGCAGAGCTACTGCTGAGAGAGCAGAGCTGGCAGTGCAATAAAGCTTGTGGGTCTCGAGCTGAAATCACTGAGGGGCTGGGGTAGGGATGGGTTCTGGGCTTGGGACAGTAACACTTGGGGCAGGAATCAGTGTGGGGCGGAGATAGGGTCTGTGGCACCATCGCTGAAATGGCTGTGTGGCTGTGGAATAGGGATTAATGGGTGGGAATGTGGATTGGGTGGGTAGAGCTGAAATCAGTCTAGTGCTGGTCTTGTGTCTTTGGAATTGGGATAGGAATTTTGGGGCTGGAGGAGCACCTGGGGGACTGGGGGTGTGAGGGTGGAGCTGGAAAGTCGCAGAGCTGGAGCCAAGCTGAAGATCCTGCAGTGAGAACCTGGAGCAGCTTCCCGTGGCGGCGCTGGCAAGATGCAGAGCTACTGCTGAGAGAGCAGAGCTGGCAGTGCAATAAAGCTTGTGGGTCTCGAGCTGAAATCACTGAGGGGCTGGGGTAGGGACAGGTTTTGGGCTTGGGACTGTAACACTTGGGGCAGTAATCAGAGCAATCACTGTGACATAGGGCCTGTGGCACCGTCGCTAAAATCCCTGTGTGGTGGAATTGGGATTGTAAATTGGGAATGCGGACTGGGAGGCTGGGCCTGAAGTCAGTATAGTGCTAGGATTGCATCTCTGGAGCTGGGAGAGTGTCTGGAGCTCGGATAGGGACTGGCACCGTTGCTTAAAATCCTGTGCGGCTGTGGACTAGTGATTGATGGGCAGGAACATGGACTGGGCGAGGAGAGGTTAAATTAGTCTAGTGCTGGCTTTGTGAATTTTGAATTGGGCTAGGGTTTGTGGGGCTGGAGGAGTAATTGGGGGACTGGGAATGGGAGTGTGAGGTTGGAGCTGGAAAGTCACAGAGATGGAGCCAAGATGAAGATCCTGCAAGATTTGGAGCTGCTGCTGAGAGAGCAGAGCTGGCAGTGCAATAAAGCTTGTGGGTCTCAAGCTAAAATCACTAAGGGGCTGGGATAGAGCTGGGGGCTAGAATATGGACTGGATGCTTTGGTCAGGGAGTGTAGATTTTGAGTAGAAATTACTGTGGGATTGGGATTGTATTTTTGTGCACTCTGGGGAGTCTAGTAATTATATTGCAAGCCATTGGAGGGAACTGGGAATACTGGGTAGAGTCAGCTGTTCTATGGGGAAGGCCCAGGTGTTAACAATGAGGGGGAGGAGGAGCCAGGGATTGGGCTGAGGCCCCTTGGCTGTTGTTCGGAGTCAGGAGCTGTAGCAGGACTTCTTAGACCGTGACTCAGGTGAGTCTGTTTCAATTTCACCTTTACAGTCCCTTCCTACTGTCCCCAGTCCCTCCCCACTGTCCCCAGTCCCTCCTGAGTCCCTCCCAGTTTCTCCCAAGTACCCCAAACCCCATCCCAGTGCAGTCAGTCCCCTCCCTGTTCCTTCCCCAGTGCCTCCACGCCTTCCCAATTGCTCCCACTGCACCCCAGTCCCATCCCAGTCCATCCCTTGTACCCTCAGTCCAACCAAGCTCCCTGCGCAGTTCCCTCCAGAACCTCCCCAGAGCTCCCAGTTCTTCCCAAGTTGTTTCAAACCCATTGCAGTCCCTCCCCAGTGCCTTCAGTCCCACCCCAGTTCCCTCCCCAGTGATCCCACTTGCTCCCAAGTGCCCCCAGTCCAGCCCAGTCCCAACCCAGTGCCCCTGGTACCTCCCCAGTGCCCTCAGTGCCATCCTAGTTCTCTCAGTCCCATCCAAGTACCTTCAGTCCTTCCCCACTGCATCCCAGTGCTCCCAGTCCCTCCCAAGTGCATTAAAGAGCCATAGTGGCCCCATTCCCTCCCGAGTCCCATCCCAGTCCCTCCTAAATGATTCCTAGTCCCTCCCCAGTGCTTCCAATCAAATCCCAGTCCCTCCCCAGTCCCTTCCCAGTACATCTGCGCCCCATCCCAGTGGTCCCAGTCCCTCCCCAGAGATTCTCAGGCCCATCCCAGGCACGCTCTCCAGTCCCCTCCCCAGTCCTCTCCCAGTCCCCTTGCAGTCCCTTCCCAGTCCTATCCCAGTCCCCTTGCAGTCCCTTCCCAGTCCTATCCCAGTCCCTGCACTCCCTTTCCCAGTGCTCCCAGTCCCATCTCAGTTCCCTCCCCAGTGACCTCAGTCCCATCCCTGTGCCCACCCAGCGCATCTCAGTCCCATCCCAGTGCCTGTAGTCCCACTGTCCCCAATCCCTCCCCAATGACCCCTGTCCCATCCCACTTCCCCCAGTCCCTCCCCTGAGAATCCCAGTTGCAGTCCAGTGTCCCCAGTGCCAGCCCAGTTCTCCCCAGTCCATCTCCAGTGCCCTCAGTCCCATCCCAGTCCCTCCCTACTACCCCCAGTCCCTCTCCAGTGCCCCTAGTCGCACCCAGTGCATCCAACTCCCTTGAAGTGTCTCCAGTGCCATCCCAGTCCCTCCCCACTGCCCCCAGTCCCTCCCCACTGCCCCCAGTCCCTCCCCAGTGCGTTGTGCTCCTTTTCCCTGTACATCCCATTCCCATCCCAGTCACTTCCCAGTCCCTCCCTCATCCCTCCCCAGTTCCCCCAGTCCTAGCCCAGTGCCACCAGTGCTCCCAGTCCCACCCCAGTGCCCCCACTCTCATCCCAGTCCCTTCCCACTTCTCTCAGTGCAAGCCAGCGCAACCATTCCTTCCCAAGTGTCCTCCCTCAGTGCAACCCAGTCCTTCCCCAGTTCACCCAGTCCCTTCCTACTGCCCCCACTCCCATCCCAATTCCCTCCCCAGTGATCCCAGTCCCCTCCCAGTGGTGCCCCAGTGTGTCCTAGTGCCTCTCAGTCCTATCCCAGTGCCTCCAGTCCCTCCCCAGAGAATCCCAGTCCCAGCCCACTTCCCCCAAGTGTCCCCAGGGCCTCTCCAGTGCCCTCAGTCCCGGCCCAGTCCCTCCCCAGTGCATCTCACTCCTATCCCAGTGCCCCCAGTCCCACAGTCCCCAGTCCCTCCCCAATGACCCCCAGTCCCATCCCAGTCCTCCCAGTCCCCTTCACCCCCCCGAAAATCTCAGTCCCACCCCAGTGTCCCCACTCCCAGCCCAAATCCCCCCAGTGCCCCCTGTCCCTCTCCAGTGTTCCCAGTCCCATCCCCATCCCTCCCCACTGCCCCCAGTCCCTCCCAGTGCATGCCAGTCCTTTTCCCCGAT